GATGACATTACCTGACACTAAATAGAGTATTACAAATGTGAGCCACCTTAACCAGGGTCAATACATAAGTGTTCAAAAATATAATACACTCAATAATAATATACACTCATCTTGACAGATTGTGATCTGCATAATGAGAACTTGTGAGTGGGACTTTCCGAACGGTCTGATGTTGAAGACCATATTAGGTTTATTTACCTAATGGAGGCGTATTTTTTAAACAGTACTGCTAAATGTACACGCACTACCAATACTTAGAGGAACAGTTTTTTCATTTTTTTCCATCACTGATAAAGCACAATTGTTTCTCTTTTACAGTGAGGAAGAACGTGTTGAAGTTTCCCTCCAGCTTAGAGGTGGATGTGGTCGATGCCACTGAGCTGTGTGAGGACGTGAACTTTGTGACGCCGCTCAGTCTGACAGAGGTCTTTTCCCAGCCGGAAGAATCCTTCCCTGCTGTAGTGGAGATACTGGAAGTCCCTGAGACGCGCTCTCTGTTCAAGTGCAGCTGGCTGTCAGAAATGAAATTGGGCAGTAACCTGATTTTCCACAAGAAAAGCTCCACAGCCATGGTTCTGTTATCCAGCCTGAAGAGCCGAAAGTCTCAGCAGTTCTTCCTGGTGTCTCAGCAATACAGTGGACGATTCCGCAGGCGGCCAAGAGAGTTTAATTCAGTGTACGAGCTGCATGTTGCTTCATCCCAGGCACCAGCTCTGAAAGTGGGTGTCACGAGGAGCTGTGAGGAGGTGGAGGAGGAGGGCCTGCCTGCGCTCAGTGTGGGGGATCAGCTGGAGGTTGTTCGCTGTGAGACCATGAGGCTGCCTTGTGAAAGCAACAAGGAACAGACGCAGTTTGTCGAGGCTCTGCTGTGTCGGCGTCTCCAGGACCCAGACGATGGGGATGATGATGATGATGATGATGAAGATGAAGATGAGGTGAAGCAGGAGAATGGCAAAGAGGAGATTTTTCTGCCTCTGTACATGCAGGGTCACTTTGTGGAAGTACTCAGTGATAGCAAGAAATACAAACTCAAGGACTTGGGTAAGGAGTTTAGTTTGCCCCTGAATGTTAAAGTGGTGAGCCGGGACACTGAACTCGAAGCCGATCCACTCGCTGGGTTTGCGTGTCTCAGAATAGAGGCTGCCATGTTGGAGCCCACCATCCAGGCAAGCTTTGCACACAGGCCGGAACACTGTTTTGAAATCCCAACGGAGTGGCTCTCTATGTCTGTCCATTTTACCAAGGACCCCCTTCCATGGCCCAGCAGCCAACCCCCTAAATGCCATTTGGACAGAGTCACTGAGGTGACAGACATGTTCTTTTATGAATTTCGCAAACAGGGCAACTCCGACGCAGCTCCTCCACCCCGACCCCCTAAGCGAAATATGTCAACTTCAAAGTCTCTCAAAACCCCATCAAAACCCTCAAAAAAGTCAATCAAAATGTCATCCAACAAGAGCGTCCCGAGCACAGAGTTAGCCACTTTGACTTTGGATAGCAAGCGAAGGCCCCCAGCCCCCCCGGCTCCAGTAAGTATGGATTTTAGTTATTTATTTGTGCATTTCAAATGTAAGAGTGGAAATATTATTAAGTAAATGCACAGGAGGGATAAACAGTAACCTGAGGGCTTGTAAAAGGAACCCACCAACACTGATATTAAATAGAAAAAAATAACTTTATACTATAGAAAAAACAGTGAGATAAAAGTTGATCCGAGACATAGTTACCATGAAACTGTTTCAGGGAATATGGAAGTGAATTGTCAAGAAATTGAAATACAGAAGTACCCATTTAAAGAAAGAGCTGGAGAAAATGAGCTTTTTCATATTCTTTTGTGATTAAAACATTGAATGGATACTAGTTTTATATGTCCATATTTTAAAGTACTAGCAATTATGTGTTAAAGAAACAAAATCATATTTAAGTACAGAAATATTACTCATTAGGCAGATGATAAATGGTCAATGTCAGTGTATATTATTTTACAGTATACCGTATTTAGTTTACTTTAATTCACAAGGTATGTAAAGATATAATATAGAGTTATTAGATACAGAAAGTTTTGTATAGATAACATGTTTTAATTGCCAAACAATACCAATATTTCAACAACTTTTTGGACACATAAAAATGTTTTCTGGTAAAGTAGATCTTAAATGATTTACCCTTAAATCTTTGCATGCAACTTTTCATGCAGGAAACAGGATCTATTCGAAGTTGTGGTTCGGCGGTCTCTTTTAACATGTTTCTTGTCATGTGTCTCAACTAATTCTATGAAACCCACCACAATGTGACTTTTGACTTAGAGAACACATTTTTCTCTCTCAGTGAACTGGACAGAAACAACATCTGAGTATTCAAACTCAAACACAATGCTTCCACTTTTCGCTGTGGTGAAGAAGTGGTGTGTTTAATCAAGCTGAATGTGTCTAACTTCCTCTTTTTGTGCAGGGTATTTTGACTGGTCAACCTCCACCATTAGTACCCCGAAAGCACTCAGCGGCTGAGGTGACTAAAGGCAATGCTCGGCCGAACACCTATGTGCAAAGGGAGGACTCCAAGAAAAAAGGTGGAGAACCGGATGCAGAAGTTCAAAAATAAATTGTTTCTCATTAAAAAAAACTAACACTATTGTTTGTAACTCAAGCAGGAGGAAATGTATTTGGGTGTTTTTTCAGATGCAAATTAAAACACAGTGGTTCTCTAGTCTAAATTGATTCATAACACAAGGACAGTGTATGTGGCATTGACACAACATCCCTAATATCAGATACCCATGTGAACAAGGAAGTCGAACATTGTGAAACATTGAAATAGAGCTCGATGACTGAGAGGATTAGCCTTATCATATCAACTCATTACTTGTTTGTGTTTATTGGATTTGCTGACAAGAGGAACAATATTGCAAATAAACAACATTACTGATTAAAAAATAAACTGTACTTCTCTTTTCCCACAGTGCATCTGCCTGAAATCGCACCAGATGTGGACAGCGACCATGACTACGAAACTGTGGATGAGACTTTTGTCACGATCCTGAAGGCCGCGCAAGAGAATGTCATGTTTTACTGAAATGATGTTCTGCCGCGACAGAAACAAATCAAATATAGGCTGTGGGAACTGAAAAGAAAATGGCATATTGCAGCTCTTCCATCTTGATTTATTTTAGAGAAGAATGGGTTTAAATAAGGTTAGATATTTCAGTTGAAGAGGCCCTATCATGCTTTTGGGGGTTTTCCCTTTCCTATAGTGTGTTAAGATAAGATAAGATAAGATGGTACTTTATTGATCCCAATTTGGGACATTTTTTGTTAAATGGGTTTTTGTGCATTTAACTGAAACGCCTCAATTGGACTCCTTTGTTTACGTCTGTAACATAGTGACATCACTCGTTCTTCTGTAAGCTAGCGCTCCATCTCTAAGCGGTTGACCAATCACAACCAGCCCAACATACTGGGCTCTGGTTTCAGACAGAGGGTGAAAAGAGGTACTGGCAGCATGAGAACAATTAAGAGCTTTTTGATCATTAAAGCAGGGACACATGTCACAGGAGAGACATTAAATACAAATATGAAACTGAAAATGAGAATGATATGTCCTCTTTAAATATTAAATTAATCAAACATAAGCTCCTACCGGTACTGCATTTGATCATTTACAGGATTTATAACACCCCACAGGGCTTTTGGTGGCTTGTGTCCTGACTTGTTTTAATCAGACGTTTACCAGAGTGCAAACAAAGTGAACAATAGGCAAGAACATGGGAAGTCATTCAGTTTGGGGACAGTTTGATTAGCTGATGTTTGCCCACACATTGTCTCGCAGTGTATCAAAACATACCAACCTTGCTTCTGATGTGGTCAGCGAAACACTTTCAGTCTCCAACCATTTGTTTCTGCGCTCTAACCACTGTATTCTCCTCATGATTGAATGTGGCTGCAGCTGTGTCGCAAACTTTGATCATAAACATACTGCCCTTGTCATATTTATTGTTGTTGTACCATTTGTTGGACTATGTATCAGTATATTTGTGCTTTTTAATCAAGCTTGTGAGAATATTGTGTACTATATAAGAGTTTAAGGGGCTATAGCTTGTCATTTTGTGTATAATAACGTCTGATTGTGCAATACAACAGCCGTTACTCTGAATATACCATCCTGAAGAGACAGCAACGCTTCCCAGTATTACACGACAACCCTTGTAAAACACGTGTTGAATATTGGGTCAAAAAACGCATATTTACGAGTTTCGCAATGGGAACCTTCAACGTGCAAACTTCACAGTGTATACGAGTTAACAAAAGCTGGGTGGGTCTTTCTTAACCACATTTACCACAAAATAGCAGTACTCCCCTGGAAGTCACAGCAAACAAATGGGTGAGAAACATTGTAACACTCTTTTTTTGGTATTTATGAAATGAAAAAGTTAATAGTATTTCCCCATTTCATTAATTTTTGGTTTATATTTTTTCTTCAAATACAAACGTACTGTACATGTATTTGTCTGTATTGTTATTTTGTACTTAAGATGTTTGTCTCAACAACATTGAGGCTTCATAATCCACTCACTCGTTTGAATTTTGTTAAAAACAGTTGAGCGCTCCAACACACTGTACAAGACATCTCTAAGCGGTTGACCAAACACAACCAGCCCAACATACTGGCCTCTGGTTTCAGACAGAGGGTGAAAAGAGGTGCTGTTTAGATATTTATAGTCAGATATTTTTGCTCTACATGTCTGCATCCTGCCCACAACTGAACTGAACAACAGGTGGACTTATTCAAGTAAAGACAGACATCTGAAGTGGGAGGATAATAAAATGTGGCTGTCACAACTTAATACTTGTGTAAATAAAGTGCTCCTGTATTTTAACACATTTCTACAAATTGCTTGTTGTTATTGAGACTTGTGTGTTGATGGCTCATTGTCTTAAATTCAGATTTAAAATGTCTTGAATAATCTCTAAACAGACTACATGAAGTAAGAAGAATATCACAAGTGTTAATTATACAATATTTTATTATGGCAAAAGTTAGTTAAACAGACAAAGAAAACGAAGTACTTGCTTTCAAAATCTTTTAAAATTACAAAATGCTTTACAAAGAAATGGTGGGAAATACAGAAAAACAGCATTTACTACCAACAACAACTTCCTCAAAAAGCAACACCTCTGGGACTGGCAAAAATACAGAAGCAACCTTAAGGATACAGGATGTGTCAGCCAACAGCCTCACCAACATAAACCATGTGTTCTTCAACTAACACCGACCGCAGTGCCGTGACTCACACGGATCATGGGAAGTCACTCAGTTTTAGCATTGGCACGGGCAGAGAGGTTGTGTTTAAGGGGAAAGCTTTGAGTTATTATTAAACAGATACTGAAGGACATATCAGATTCAACTCAAACAACTGGATCTAATCATCGCTGTCTGTCGATTTGTAGTGATCTTCGTCGATGGTGGAGAAGATGTGACCTTCGTTGCTTAGGAATTCCACTGCTTGCCTGTTAGAGAACGAAGAAATACAAATGTTTTAGGGTCTTTTCATATGAATTTCAAGCAATACAAATAACATGGTCAACATTTACAACGGCAGCTGCAACCATAAGTACATCAAGAGAAAAATAGATTGGCTATTTTTTATAACATTTTGCCTCTTCTAGCAAAATATGCAAAACATTTTTGTTGGTTCCAAGCTCTCAGCCGTGAGAATGATACATGATGAAGTAGGAAGTGATTCAAAAGAGATTAAAAGAGTATAGATTAGAAAGAAGACTTTAAATCACATGTGTCAAACTCAAGGCCCGGGGGCCAAATCAGGCCCTTGGTGGATTTCATTTCGGCCCGCAGGATAATTTCTAATGACTATTAGCTCTGGCCCGCCGGTATATTGCACGCACACCTTCACTCAATCCTGAGGATCTCCTCAGCTCAGAGCCTGACCCCAAACATTGATGAACTTGCACCCAAGATGAGATGCCAAGTATCTGGCTTAGTGTGCATCACAGAGCAGCACACTGAGTTTCAATGGATGTTTCCTTCTGCACTTTTCTTCTTGCAACAACAGGGCATGTTTGTTTTTTCTTTGAGGGAAATAGTTTTTTTGAAGCTGTTGTTGGCCTTTGGAAAAATGTAATCATAAGAAATGACTCCAGAAAAGCTGCAGATAGAGCCATAAGAAATGAATGCTACTGATTATTTAATGTTGTTTTTATAGGCAATAATTTAAGCTTTGTTAGTTCCAGGTTTAATATGTGCAATAAGTTCATTTCAATACGTTTTGCAATAAACATTGAACCAGTCCGGCCCTCGACTAGTACCCATTTTTTAAATGTTGGCCCACTGTGTATTTGAGTTTGACACCCCTGCTTTAAATAGTATAACATTCATCATATAAAATTAATACAAATACAAATAACGAAGTATAAAATAGAGACATATTTGGGATACCATAAAGGTAAATAACAAAAATAAATGAAAGTCTATCAAATAAAAAGTGACTGGTTGCCTGGCAGTTTATCAGATTATATTTAAGCCACTTTTACTCCTTAACATAAACAAATAACAGCTACCAGGTTCCTAAATCTTCGGCTGATCCAGGGCCTGTTCATGCTGAAAACAAATAGTTAGTAGCATCATTCAAATAGGCAGCTTCCCTTTCCTGTAACAGATGTATTCTTACCCAATAAAGCCACCCAATGGTGCAGGAGAGCGCCCTTACAATGTGGATAAGCTTCTGTGAAAATCCTGACTATGCATTATATGCTAAAGAACAACAAGCTTTAATATTTGCATTATATATCATTATTAAATCGTTTAGGATTCTTCACCCCGTTTGTCTCTTCTTAAAAGGAAAGCTATGAAAACAAAGTGCAAACAATGAGATCATTGTCAATGAGTCATCGTCTAAAAGTCCCCCGATAGCATCACTGATCGGACGCTCGGATATTAATATGGGTGCGACGCAGTAAATAGACTTCACTTTTTGTTTTGTTCACAAGATATAAAAAAGGGGAACTTGACTTACTTTATGACAAGGAGACTCGTTCCTCCCAGTCTCTGCTTCAGGTCCTGGATGCTGATGCCCTGCGGCTCGGGGCAGCCTCTTATCAAACTCAGCACCTTGTGAGACGAGAAATGACACATTCAAACCTGCACGCAGCGTCACAGAGGAAATACAGAAGTATCCTTCAGCTCCAGAAACTGAAACCAAATATAATTTGTTCCCCTCAGTAAACCATGTTCATGCATTTCAGATATAATAAGGAGGGGCAAGACATAACAAATTACACATCTTCTTAATGTCCTTCTCCACATTCATTTGTACGCTTGTCTGATAATAACTGCAGCTTTTCTGTCCAGAGATCATTGTTGAATGTGTTCGATTCAGAGGTTGAAACTGTATGGTTCTTTTGCGTGCCATTTTTCTTAATTATTCACATCTATTTTAACTTTCATTGTCAGTGTTAGGTCAGCACACACCGCCTGAGTATGGTGGCTGTGGCGCAGTGGACTAGTGCGTGGGTGTTCGGATCAGGGGCCCTGTGTCCCTGGGCAAGACACTTCACCCCAAATTGCTCCTGTGGGGATTGCCCACAGTACTGAGTATGTAAGTCACTTTGGATAAAAGCGTCTAACAAGTGACATGTAATGTAATGTATAAGGAGTACTACCGAATACCATTGTATTCTCTCATTGTTTTCCATCAGGCTGTCAGGAGGCTGAACTCCCTCCCCCCTGCCACTAACTCCCCACACACTCAGACACTCAATTCCAGCGCCAGACACTTTTTACGCTGCTATGGACAATCTGACTGTTATTTTGTATATATTGATTGTTATGCTTTTAATTGCTCTTAATGTGTGCACATGTAAAAAATGTGATTCTGTGTATATAGGTATAAACACACACACATATTTTTATATACATTTGTTTTTATATTCGGGATTGTGGGAAACGGTATTTCGATGTCTCTGTCTGTACACACAAACTGGAAGATTGACAATAAAGTTGACTTTGTAATTCTAATTGACTACATCGTTAAGGCTCACCTGATTCTGGTTTGCACTCAACCCGTTGTTAACCATGTCAGTGGCGCCTGCATAGCCTTCTCCCTTGCTTCCTGTGTCCTGTCGTGAGGTGGGCATGACCTTAGCGCCCCCTCCAGCACTGAACTGAAAGAGAAACAAAAATAAATTCTGTCAGCATATTGCCTGGCAACAGCACAAAAAACATCCCTAAAGACAATAGTAAGACAGATACTTAGAAACATGATATGATCAAACGTGACTTCCTCATGTCCCTTCAGGGAAAAACACACAGTTTACTCTGCTCTGCTAGAGGGTATGCTACTCACGTCATTCACAGAATGGCAATCATTTTCAGAATCAAACTGATGTGTTTCTGTATTGATTAAAATAAAGAATACTTTAACATATTTTTAAGCACTAAGAGCTAAACTGTCTTCCTAAAAAAAAAAAGGGGGTTTTCAGCAAGCACCAATTTCCAGGTAGCCGGACGTTTTTTTAAATGGCTCGAGGAGGGAGTTCATCTCCATAGACCCCGATGTTAAAATTCCTAATTTTACTTAAAAAATAAACATTTTAACAGCCTTGAATAATGACAGTTTGGGTTATTATATTCATGATAACTGTATCCGGGGTGAATTTATATTTAACTCATCAGTTAAAACTAGGGCTGTCAAGTTAACGCATTAATAAAACAATTTTTTTTAACGCCACTAATTATTTTAACGTGCGATTAACGCATGTGTATTTGTCCTCGGCCCGCCCCGTAGTTTCAGAGCCCAAAGGCTTGATGTTGTTGTTGTTAGTTGGATGGAGGCAGATTCTAGCGAGAGATATGGATACAAAAAAAGGTGTTTTAAACAGCAAGCCAAGCACACAGCTGATGCTGACAGCCCCGCTCCTGCCGCTCGCTTGCGGCAGACCACGCTTGAAAGTTTGCCGGGGAGATGCCTGGACACGGCGTCTACGAGCAGCAAGCTTTCAACAGCGATAGCTAAATGGGTGGCGGTGGCTACAGCTTGCAGGACAATTAACATTGTGGAGAACGAGGGACTGTGTGAGATAATTCGGATCGCATCCAACGTGTCGACTGCACATCACAGCGCATTATTTTGACCCACAGTGGGAACTTCAGTCTCATGCTTTGACTGTTATGAAGACAGAGGAGCGGCATTTCGCCGACAACTGTAAACAGGCTTGTCTGTTTGAGCAACTGGCTCAGTGCAAAGAAGTAGACAGGGTTGGGAGAGAGTGAAGAGAGAGAGAGGTTCCAGGTTGTTGTGTTGAGAATATTCAGGGGAATATTTGTCATTGTTCCAATGATAATAAACAAACATTTGCATAAAGCATATTTGTCCACTCATATGTTGATAAGAGTATTACAAATATTCCTCTAAGGTACATTTAGAACAGATAAAATATGACTTAATCGCGATTAACTATGGACATTATGCGATTAAATATTTTAATCGACTGACAGCCCTAGTTAAAACGTATCTTAAGGCTAAAAGGGACACATTACTAGAGGCGTGGTTGCCTCTTCCGAAACCGTATCAGATGCTACGTCTATACTTAATACAGTCTATGGTTTGCTTCGACCATGAATAAAGACTGCAGAGGTTTATGCTTCAGATTGCCCACCTGGCTCTGAGGTTTGCCGAGCATCATGTGCGCTTGAACGACCTCCAGCATATGAGAGGTGATCTCATTCATGTCCTCCAGGGGCCTGACGCCAAAGGCCACGACAGATCTGTGATTCTGAGAGAGGAAACAAACGATTCACACTCTCGCTTAGCTATAAAACAGACACATTTACAGAGGAACTACTACGCTATAAACTAGAATAACATGAATAAAACTGCTCATGAAACAAGCTTATCTAAAAGCAATTGATCATAAAGTTAAAGTTCCTATTAGTTTCTTGTTGCTGTGGAGAGGATGCGAGGATGGTAAACTCACCTGGAAGGAGCGCAGGTTCCCAGAGACTTTGACATACGTGCCTGGAGGCAGAACAGTGCTGTCCACACTGGGATCCTGTACAAACAAAACACATTCACACATCGTACTAAGGGACTTCCCTTGTGAAGTTCACCAAAATAAGATATGCTAAACCATCTGAATAAGTGAGAATACAACCATGTCTTATTTTTTTAAAGGACTATGTTGAGTTGTTGCAAAAGAAGAGGGATTACACCACAGCATCAATTATATCGCAATATAATTTAGTTTGAGTCTTGATTTCACATTCTTAATTTATGTAGTTTTAAAGTGTTTGTTATTGGATTATTTTCAATGTACTTTATAAAGGATGAGAAGTGAAACTAAAAGCTGACTATCATTTCTGGTCAGCATTGAGTTTGAAAAATGAGAATAGCCCATTTCTTAAAAATGTGTCCAAAGAACCGCAGAAGAACAGAAACCCCCAACTTTGACTTCTTGGTATTGGGTTTTAGTAATCTCGTGTTTAATACATTTTATTCTTTTTTATTTTTTTTAAGGCACCTTTCATGACACCGTACAATTAGTTAAATATTCTAAGAGGTAAAAAGCAAGTGTCTACGGCTCTCTCACCAGGGATTGAAGGTTGTGTGCAAAGATAAAAGCAGCGTCACTGACCTCTGTGTCGACCCACTGCTTCACATCCATGGGAGCGCCTGTCATGTCGTCCACCTTGTACTGGATGTTGGTCATGGATTTGTCCGTGCTCCTGATAATACCCACAATGGTAACCTAGGATACAGAACAGGAAATGTTATCCAAAAGTGAGATCGACAAGTTTAATTGTTACATTATGATTATAGCGGTGAAGACATAGAGAGGCCCATGGGACCTTATTTCGGAAAAATTATGTATTGAAGTCAATGGGGAGAGAAAGATTATCTTTCTATCCCGTTTGAATTGTGCCACGAATTACACATATGATGTTTGTCAATCTTAAAAATTAATTTACATGTCAACAAAGTCAGTTTGTCATAAAACTGTTGAAATATAAGACTATGAAAAATATGCAACTAGAAAGACTACAAATACCAGAATCCCGGTCCCGCATGCTGGCTCTTACGGAACCGACTAACTCCCCTTTTGTGTATGTGCAGCTCTCAACATGCCCAGACTTGTAGTGATTTTCACCTCGTTTAATACTTTTCGCCTCATACTGAAAGAAAGAAGTGAAATGTGCCAACGTGACGGCCGTCTTGGTGTGTGGTGCGAGACGGGAGATGTAGTTCATTGAGCGGTTTCACACAAAAAAAAGTGTTACTTCACATTTTTTATTTTTTTACTTGCAAAATTATCTTTTAAATTGACAAACATCACATGTGTAATTCGTGGCACAATTCAAACGGGATCGAAAGATAATCTTTCTCTCCCCATTGACTTCAATACATACTTTTTCTGAAATAAGGTCCCATGGAGGTCCCCCGGAAAGGGAGGGACTTCGCCTCTCTATTGGTTGTAGAGTTACCATCTCTTAAAGAAGTTAAAAATGCACCAAGAAAATGGATCTATTTCCTTTCAATTTGGCGGTTTTACTATTTTACCTAATGGTTTATTCTCCTGGAACTGTAGTCATTTTCAGTGAAGTGAAAAGTACCGACCATTTGAACCACTATAATCTCACAACTACAGAAGCTACTAACGATTGTTTCCAGTAATGATTGATCCATTGATTGTTGATCTTTATTAAAAGTCCGAAAATAGATGAAAAAAGGTCAATTAGTTTTTTTCTCAGTACCCATCATTTTGAATTTGAATAGCTGGTTTATCCAACAGTCCAACCCCGAGATGTTCAATTTAATATGATATGGTTTAAGAGAACTAAACCCTCCCACATTAGAAGCTACACGCTGTAAACATGTGTCATTTTTTTCCTTGAGGATTTACTGATACAATCAAATCAAAATGGTTACAGTTTACCTGGGTCACTTCCACATCGCCCACTTTGAAGGACTCTTCAGCCTGAGAGGCCGACATCAGTTGAGACACGTTGCAGGGGATTATCTGTGTGGCACGAGTTCTCTGCAAAACACACACAAACACAGAAGTAAGCTAATAGTGTAAATACAGTATTATAAATCCAATGATGCAAGAAGTACGAAATACAAGTCATTGTCAAAACACTAATCAAACAGACATTTACTGTATGTTATTGGATTATACTTTTTTTTTCTAACGTTGCAGCTCGTTAAGGCAGGGCTCATTTGAATGACTTAATTTAGTGTTGGGTAGGTTAAGCTGTATTGTTTTTAACGGCTGGTATTACTAATATAAATCCAAAAGTAACAAAAGCTTTACAATTAATGTAGTGAGAGTAGTGGAGTAACAATCACAATATCTGCGTCTAAATGATAGTGAAGTAGAAATTAGGTAAAGCTAATGTCTAAAAAAACTAGTACTTGAAGTATATTACTAACCATTTGATTAATTTAACCAACTTAAAATATGAATGTACAACTTAAGGGACAATGTATCATTGATTGGTTGATGTTAAGCACCATATGTCATGCTTTATATCAGTTTTAACATTATGTGTTGTGTAGATGTGGCATAAACAGTCATATAACGCAAGATAATTAACTAGTGATACTTTTAAAGCGAAAAATAATAGACATTTCTGACGTTTTCTTTGTGTTCGTGGTAAGAATTAGTACATTTTAGTTGCAGTTTAGAGAGCAATGTTGTGCTTTAGTACAAACCCCTTTCTTCTCTCCTCCCTGGGAAGCAGCAGGTGATGCAAAGCCTCCTGGAGACTGAGTGTAACCTCCAACTGTACTTGAGTCATTGTTGGACCCTCCTGGAAAACAAAACAAGGCAGAGATAAGCTTAGATAAGGAGGTTAAGGTTCTTTATTCCCATGTAAAACAGTCGTTTTCACCATCAGAGCCACATCAACAAAGAGGCATGTCAAGCTAACGTTAGCTGCAACCAGACAACGTCAACAAACCGAGCTGAACATTTTACTCAAAGTAACAGTGAGGACATAAAGCTTACCTTGATTCCACATGCTGGCAACGTTTTATTAACTAAATGAAGTCAAATGTAAAATGTTTCAAACACTGTGGAGCAGAGACAACAGCCGCACGGAGTTCTGTAGACTTCCTTGAGCAGTCCCGCGCGCTAAACTCAATATACTGCGCATGCGCGTAGCAGAAGTCCCGCGAAACCTACACAAGTCGGCCACAGGGATATTTCAGCCCCGGTTTTAGGCTCTCAGGCAGTTTGGATACGTACAATTGTTGATTTTACGGAGGATCTTAACCTTGACAACGGCCCTTAACATACACAGCGCGTGTTTTTAGAAATGCGTTTTGATATAGCTTGTTGGGGAGCGATTTAATCAATTTCCGAAGGGAATGCCTAAAAGGCAAAGCTTGGGGAACCAATTGTGTTCGTAAGGTGCCAAGGCGGTGCTGCCTTCAAGTCCTGTTGGAAACATTGCGTTTGATACTATGTAAAAGAGGCAACGCTTACTATTTTCTTTGCCTGTTTACTTTATATCCTGTTTTAATATTTTGGTTTTGTGTATGCAGGCCAATATATTACATTTAAATCTCAACAATAAGGTCAATGGCAATATTACGACCCGATCTCCGGGAAGTACGTGCATCCCGCGAAGGCAGCACGCCTACCTCAAAACTGCTCGAGAGATGCTTCTTTATATTCAATAAACACTACATTTACAATGGAAAATGGAAACTCTACTCGCTAACTAAAGCAACAAAAGCGCACCCATATATGCTGTGATAGCCCAAAGCTCAATAGGTCACCTGAAAACTCAATAATGTATATGCCATAGCATAGAGTACAATTCAATTAGCCTACTTTATCTTTAGCCCACATATAAATGTTTGTATTAAGGGATGTATGTGTCTGGTGCCTTTAAATCAGGGGTCTCCAACCTTTCTTCATCTGAGAGCTACTTTCAAAAAATGAAAGTGGCCAAGAGCTACTTGCATCACATCGCTTACATTTATTCACATAGCCCTCATCAGTTGAATTAAGCTATACTTTTGTACACGTGTGAAATTGCAATACCTAAAGCTTATCAAAAATAAGGTCCAAGAAAACGAAGATTTCTCACATATTATTATGGCCCACATAATAAGTACATCACTGAACATTCACATAAGTGTCCTTAATCACCACCTTACAAGCATTTCACTCTTTTGTTAGTGAGATTAATGGCACTGCATACAGTCCACCATAGAGGTGTATGCTGGACCCACTTAGGTTCACTTAATAGAGTCATTTAAATGTTCATCAGTCGGTCTTGTTCTGTATTTAGATTTCATTCATGTCAGAAAAAGCTGCTTCACAAAGGTATGTAGAACAGAACCAAATAAAGCAGACATTTTCAGTGCTGCTTGGTGAATGTTCTTATAGTTTTCTGGGTCTACAAGGCTCCAGAAATGTTGTGAGTTTTGCTGAGACTTAAGCTGAACATTATTTTGGAGATCTCCACAGGATTGACACTGAACAGTTGTTCAGCCATCTTTTTCTTCTTCTTCTTCGTCTTGACATTAAATTATAAACCATAATAAATCAATTGTATAGGTCTAGCCTCCCTATATCTGTGTGTGAAAATGGTTCCATCCTCAAAAACAAAAAACTAATACTTCTGCAGTCTAGCTGCAGCTTCTAGCTACGGTCTTCTGTTAAAAAAAAGACACACATGACTTGAGTCTGAAAACAGCAGGAGTATTTACAATAGCATTATTAGCACACTTACATTCTCTGTCTTACTGTTACATAAATCCCATGAATGTATGAGATTAAGTTAGCTTCATCATATCTCAATCAGTGATTAAGTGAATAATAAAGTTTCTATCGGGTCACTATCAGCCTGTCACTCATTATTTTCAGGGAGGGGGCGGGGTTTGGAGGAACGGAGAGGAGACGGTGATCGCGGAAGCTTTCCTCCTGCCTTCACAAACTTTACACAAGTATTTATCAACTGAAAATAGCAAGAGGACATTCATACTCTGCAATCCAAGACTTGATTAAATCCACCAAAAACCTGACATGACGATAACGAGTGTTTTTCAAAAAACACAAATCCCTCCCTGTGTGTCTGTGAGGCGCAGCGACAGGGCCTGATTCAGAGCGGGTCATTCTACTGTTAGTTCTGGACTCGTGCTGGTGGAGAAAGCAGACTGCTCCGTGTGTGTTGTCGCTGTGCTGCTGTCACGTCTGTTCCTTGATCTCTGCGTCACCGACCATTTGATATTCGTGTGACAGAAAAAAATCTAAAATAAAAAAACGTTATTGTCCAGCCGCGGCCGAAAAATCAATAAGCAACCTTACTACGCTATAATCGATAATCGAGCGGCGAGCTACTGAAAAGCTGCCCGCGAGCTACCGGTAGCTCGCGATCGACGTGTTGGAGAGCCCTGCTTTAAATATATCGTCATTACCATTATCATTATCATTAAATCTTTGGAGCCTATACATTGTTTTTGCATAGTCTGACAACTTCATTGTGGCCTACTACAGTTGTATGCTTCTCCTGCTGCAAATAAATAATAATAAATAATGTCCTCCCACTTCTCCTTTTAAATCATAAAACAAATCCCATTGGGGTTTAAAAAAAAATCTTAAATAGAAGAAACGAGGTGTAACCTGCAGAGGAAGTAGTAATCGACCACCTTCAGGCAGAAGACGCGTCATGATTAACTCAGTCTTATCTTTATAGACTTACCTCTCAAACCTGGACTTGACTTGACTTCTGTCGGACTTTTGCATTCCTCACTTATTTCAACATGTCCACAGTAAGGCTGCTCTTATCGTGTCTGCTTTTTAAGGAGGTCATCTCATTGTCAGGTAAGAAACCTGGTTATATTGTTGTAGAAAAATGTTTACTGGTAAACTCACGTAATCGTGGGGAAAAGACTCCATGTGCGCAATTACGCATCGTTTGTATCCAGGAAACTTCTGGCACATCACGGATCTGCACTGGGACCCGACCTACGAACTGAGCGATGATCCTCAACTGGTTTGCAAATCAAGTGGCAAACGACCCGCAGCCAATGCTGGAAAGTTTGGAGACTATGCTTGTGACTCGCCATGGCTCCTTATAAACTCCTCTGTGTATGCCATGAAGGATATTCTACCAGATCCGGACTTCATCGTTTGGACAGGGTATGTATATGCTTGAGGTTGATAGTAAAACAGTTTAATTGTTTGGTGCTGTTTTGTTGAGTCCCAAGTTCATTTAGAGAAATGCATCTTATCTTAAGTATCTTCTATCTTTTGTTTTGCTGCACAGAGATGACACACCACATGCAGATCTGGGAGAGGAAGTAGTGCTTCCCATTATCAGCAACCTTACCCACATCATAAGTCAAGTGTTTCCAAGTAAGTGGAACCTCAGGGACTCGTTTATTCTGGGAGAAAAACCCAACATTAACTTGTATCATTTATGAACTGATATTATTGATGAATACTTTACACCCCTTCCTTCCTTAGACACTAAAGTGTACTCTGCCCTGGGCAACCATGACTTCCACCCTAAAAGCCAGCTTCCTGCAGGCCCAGATGACATCTATGACCAAACAGCAGAAATGTGGCAGGACTGGTTGGATCCAGCGTCCAAGGAAACTTTTAAAAAAGGTGGACAGAGCCTCTTGCAAATAACACATTGAGATTTGTTGTTTGGATATATAAACAGTTGCCTTCCTGAGAAAATCAGCTTTTTGACACATGGCATTTTGCATTTAAAAGCACACGTCCAATTGTGTCATGCATGTTCTACAAATCTTTTCTTCACATAGGTGGATATTACACCGAGAAGCTGCTAAATCGAACGGGTTTCAGGATGCTGGTACTAAACACAAACCTCTACTATGACCAGAACAAGAATATCAAGAACATGGTGGACCCAGCGGGACAGTTTACCTGGGCGGATCAGGTTCTTACAGAGGCCGCCAACAACAAAGAAAAGGCAAAGCATCTTTACTACCGTTGCATTGCAACAGGGGTTAAATTGGATCTAAAGTCAAGTTTGAATTACAGATTACTAGGGCAAACAAACATTCAATAAGTAATAAAAACCTCATTCCTCTTTTTAACATGGTTACCAAGGTAATTAGGAAGTATATTTTGTATTTACATCCCCAGTATGAGTAATTATCTCACAGGAAGTGGATCTACTTTTACAACAAGATACTCAAGCATTGCAAAAACGATGTATTGATCTTTAACTACTTTACATGAAATTAGACTATTTTTGCCAATTCTACATCGGTTTCTCTCCCAGGTGTACATCATTGGCCACGTCCCCCCAGGTTTCTTTGAGAAGAAGAGAAATAAGCCGTGGTTTGTGCCGGGATTCAACAAGCTGTACCTGGATTTAATTCAGAGGCATCATTCAGTCATAATGGGACAGTTTTTTGGCCATCATCACACCGATAGCTTCCGAATGTTCTACAACTCAACGGGTAAGGATGGACTGTGTTATATTGCTCAGTCGTGGAAGAAAATATTTTGTTAAGTTGAGGTTGCCAGAAAAAAAAATCCTGCATGTTACTTTCACAAAGGTACAAAAGAATAAGCATCATATTGTAATTTAAGTACTTGAAGTTTAACTTGTCACTCCTTTGTAAAAGGCATTTTCTATGTGATATACTGCTGGGCTGGGGAACTTAACCTATAATAATACAACATACTTTATCAGTTGATATATGCTTTCTTCTTTTATTCATTTGAACTTGAAAATAACTAGTAAGTTAGTAAGTGAGGTAAAATGAAGCTACAATATTAATATAATATAATAATAAGATAACATTCCACCCCTGATACTAATACTACTGCTTTTCTTCTTTGGTTTGTATTTAGGTTACTTAGTTTTTACTCTTCAATGCATTCAATGTGATGCACAGTGATTCTCACATCTCATTTTGTGCTTATTATTGTGATAATCTGAGGTGATGGCCTTTCTGTTTCCACAGGCTCTCCCATCAGTACGATGTTCCTCAGCCCAGGTGTCACACCGTGGAAAACATCCCTCCCTGGAGTCCTGGACGGAGCCAACAACCCTGGAATTCGTGTCTTTGAATATGACACCCAAACACTCCTTGTCAAAGTAAGTAACAGCCAGTCTGCAAAACATCCCTTTACATGTAGTAGCTGCAATATAAACCTTCTGCAGAAAAAAAAAAACATCT